TGTATTTCATCAGGAGCTCTTCGAGGTCTGCCGAGGTGCGGCCAGGACAAAGCAGCCACAACAAGGTTCACGTGGAGAGCTAGATCCTAAGGATGAGTTGCCGGAGGGAGTGACCTTTGACTACCATCCCGTTTGGCAAACCCTGTTCAGGTCTGTGCAGTTCAGAGAAGTTTGGCGCCGCAGAATCTGGAGGCCGCGACACATCAATGTGCATGAGCTTCGCACTCTGTTAGCTTCAGAACGGCGTCGAGGGCTTGCGCATCCCAGCTCAAGCAAAGTGACTGCAAGTGACTCCCAGGTGTCATTAGGAGCCGCACTTGAGGGAAGGTCAGCTTCGCCCAGACTTAACGGCATCCTCCGGCAGAGCCTCCCTGAGCTGATTCAGATATCCTGTATTCTCGAAACTCGGAGGCCCCGGTTGCAGCTGCTGACTAAGAAGAGCAACCAACAAAGAGCTAAGCGATCCCGCTCCTGCTCCTACGGCAAGGGGCCGACTCATGAACCTTTAAAAGCTACGGTCACAGCTTCGTCATCAGCATGAAGGGAACATGACCCTAAAACCTGAACCCTAAACCCTAAACCCTGAACCCTGAACCCTAAACCCCAAACCCTAAACCCTGGCACCCTTGCAAAAATCCTGTTATATAGGTGCCTTAATAATTAGAGTAGGGTTTTGGGGTATATTATATTCATGGAAGGGGCCTTAATGATTAGAATAGGGTTTTGTGTTATAGTAGACGAATTATAAGCAGGAACCCGCAAAAAAAATAGTAGAGATAATTACTAAAGCCTCTGCAGAATGCTGCAGCTTTAGGGCTTAGGGTGTAGGCTATGAGCACACACTGAACCCTGCTCAGCCGTGGTGCCTTTTTCAGCTTGCCCTCCATGTTTGCAATGTCCTTTTTTGCAAAAGATGGCAAGCTTGGTATAGCACTGAGGATTTGGGCTCAGGGTTTTGGGGGCCCGATAGCCTCGAAACGCTTGTACTGGATCGCATTTACAGTAGGATAAAGGGGACATCCCGAAACGCAGACTCCCAACCTTTGCACCCGGAAGTCCCAAAGCCTTAGACCACAAATCCAGGCCTACACCACAGACATACACAAGAGGAGATTCCAAAACCTCACCACTCCACTGTATCTGAAGATGTCCTGCAACAAGGATCCCTGCATCGAACCCTTCGAAAGCCCTTGCATGCACGCTCGACCCTGTGAGGCTCGTAACAAGCATATAAAGCCTATGGTGAACCTCTTGGCCCTCGTGCCTCAAAACACCAGGGAATTGTGTTCTTTCTCTCTGCCCCCGAGAACTCTAAACTCTCCGACCCTCCAACCGTCGAACCTTTGAACCCTCAAGACTAAACCACTAAACCCCGGAGCCCCAAACTAGCGGCAAAAAACGCCCAGCCTGAAAAGCCTCAAAGACCCTGAAAGCTGAGATGCATGCAACATAGGGGCCCAAAACCCTCAACCCTAAACCCTAAACCCCTAAACCCCTAAACCCTAAACCCAAAGCCCTAAGCCCTAAACCCTAAACCCTAAACCCTAAACCCCAAGCCCCAAACCCCTCAACCCTGCAGTCCTC